GGGTTTAAGTTTTCTAGTCATGGTCTAGCTCATGACCGTAGTAAGCATGGTGGATGAAGATCGACTTGAATACCGAGAGCTTAGTTGTCAGACTGAGTTCTGCTTTAGTCACATAGGATCGTCTAGTTCATGCAGGCTGGCTGTTCCAATCGCTGGTCAATCTCTTCCTACTTTTTTCCATCACCTCTTAATACAGTTCTGAGGATCGTGAAGTTCTGTAATTTTTGTTCTGCTTTTCCGTTTACCTGGGGAGAGCAACGGAGAGGACAGCGATAAAGGACTAGGCTTTCAGTTTCCACGTATGTCAGTTACGTAGCAGTCAGCCGAGAACGTTTCCAGTGACCGCTGGAGATCAATTTTACAAGAATCGGTAAAGCATAGTGTTCATCTACGTACCTCTTTCATAGCATAAATGAGGCATCGGTTTTAAAAAGGAAACACGTCCTATCATGATGTGTATTCATCGTCGGTAAAGGAATCATTATGCTTCTCTTGATTGTCACTTCTGAACGGGGCGTACTAGCTTTAGCTGGTTTAGATTTTGGTTGGCAAATTGGCTTGAAAATGACATCCAGTTTCTGCTGTGTTCTACAACATGGCTACTTACGAATAACAATCTCGCTGATATGATCTTGCAGATCGTATGATCTGTCATCAAACGATGTCAAGTGATCAAGATGAGATTGTAATTGAGAAAGCTTGATTTTGCAGAGTGATGATCCTTCCGACTTTCCGCGGTATGTTGGGCTGATCATTTGAGCTAATAGTAGCTGTTTTGCCTTCTTATCTGGAAGAATTGTGAAAACGTGCTCGACCATCGTATCTGTGACTTTTCAATCTGCAGAAGTAGCAGCTGTAAGCGTAGGATATATATACTCTGGACCATGTCTAGCAATTCGTTTCAGCAAGTCACAGATTTCAGCCTCTATTAGCCGGGACCCAAATTTTTCAGTAAATGCTTACTACTGAGGACTATAGGTGAGTATCAGAATGAAGATCGACATAATCACAGGTAAAAAGTGGTCAGAATGTACGCATAAAGTTCTTCACAAATTCGTGTAATGGGTACTCCAGTTTTTATTTGCCAGTCAGTATTTTCGGTAGATCAACCAGATTTGTTCTTTTCTTTTTTAGCCATTGTATATTAATTTCTAAAGAAGTATTTATAGTATTAGATGAAGTAAAGGCAGATATCCACTATTGTTGTGTGATCATCTCTAGCTTATTGATTGAATAATAGAAATATTTTATTTTGAGCCTGATTTACTTTACACTTATCACTGGTCACATTTACAAATTATTTCTACTTTAAAATTTCTGTAACTCATTCTCTATGTGGTTGTACATCTGTCTATATCTTTTCTGAAATGCGCATGTTGTATAAAATTTTTGTTCCTGAGAAGTTCAC